GATGAACTTTTCCGGAGTGTGGGGAGGCCTTGAGTTTGCAATGTTTGAAATGAGAAAAACCTACCTAATCCATTCAAACCGAGAGCAGCTTGCTTCGCGTCTTACTGTAAATATTCTACACCCTCGTAACTGGCACTTTGGGTGGCGAGGAGAAAGTTTTGAAGAGTCGACCTTTAGGCAACCAATTACGCGACCGTGCGTGAAGGCTCGGCCGAGGCTTAAGAATAATTTAGACCCATCTGGAAGCACCTGCTGCCATCCAGACAACTTCCATGGATGTTCGTCGCACTGGAAAACGCTGGAATGGTTCTCAACCTGTCGATATGGGAATAAATAGCCGACCAGATGGCGGCAGTTGAGACACGGTCGAACCAGTGGACTGCGAACGCCGAATTAAGATGGAATAATAGTTCAGTCGACCTAATTACAAATTAGTTGTAAGTGTTATAAATTATTAGTGTAGCAGTAATAAATTAGACTCTGGACAATAAAACGGTGATAGCGTCCACCCGTATTTAGAGTTATTCACTCAAGCTATCTGGTATGAGAGTAAGAATTCAGGATTGCAGTAAAACCTATAAATCAGGTTCAATAATATGGAATTTAAAAGTCAACCCTTTCTATAATGGATTGTAGACAGAATTGCCAATGTTAATCTTTACTATCTTACCCAAACAAGGTAGGTTTCGGCAGCAAGAAAGGTTAATTTTATTATACCCCTCCTTCGGGTATAAGTTAATAGTGTTTATATTAAACAGAAAGAGGATTAAAAAGTCAACTCTCGGTTGAATAAAGGTACTATACACCCGTAATAAAGCAAAGCAATAAAGATTGATTGAAGCACCGGTAGGTCAGTTCAATAACTGACCTACCTGTGCTGTAGGTGTTACTACCGAGAACAGACAGATTTATTTCGTGATATAGCTACACAGAAATGAGGATTGATCAGAAATTAAATACCAAAATGTACAAAATCAAGCAATCTTTTGAAAAAAAATAAAGAGCCATGGAATATTAGGAATGCAGCACATAATGTTCTTGGCTTTGGGCAAAGACTTGGCATCTAAGCCGTATTCCATCTACCGCAGTCCAACGCATTCAGCAACATTGAGAAATACAAAATTGTATTTGTACGGTTATAAGTAAGATGACAATAGCCATGCGTAAACGGTCTTGTGTATGTAAACTGAAAATGTTTGAGGATGATTGGGTGTTCTTGTGTTATAAGCGATTCAGTGTACAAAAGTACTCAAGTTTGCCAAGAGGTATGACGCCCAGCAGGCATCTTCAAATTTTCCACTTCCACTTTTACGCTAAAATATAAAATGTATGCTCTAATTAAATTACCACAAAAGCAAATGACTAGAGGGAGGTGATTTTTTGAAAGTACGCATATACTTGAAGTCAACCAGGCTTATGGTAAGGAATACGAAATAGCTATTATTACGTTTTATAGCACCTGTGAACTGTAACATCTACAGTATTCCGCTACACTGTTAGTCAAGTAAAAACCCCTCTAATAAAACTCATGATGGTGTCAGATGTCAATTAGAAGTTGAATTCGAGAACCGAGGCAGCAGCTGTCGTTTGGCCACGCAGAGTCGAAATCACCCCGTAAATAAGGGATGATCGAGGGATTTATACGTGTGGTGTTACCGCCGATCCCCAAGTACCCAATAACTATAAATATTGCACAAATTGATATCGGAGAAGGCTTGTAAATAAAAACGTGTGTAAACGAGACATAAACCAACCAGTGTATTATTACAGATCATGTTTTTACTTCCCACGATGGAACTCACAGAGGGACGTATTACACCCGAGAGGCCGAGAAATAATTCGAATTTTTATGTTTTCTTTAAAAATGATTAGCCTTACTAAGATTGATACAGAGTGGGTGGGAAACTTAAAAAATTGGACATTCTTACTCTGATACGTAAATTAATATGGACATATTATAGTTAATGATATGCCTAGTAAGGCTTTCCACTTTAAATCTTACCAACTATGTTTTGCACTTCCCGCTGTCATAAAGATAAGCTGTCTTCGCTTTATACACTTGAATGTCAATATTTAAGGGAGCGATTTTTGCCCCATTTTAACAGAAAAACTTTATACGTATCTGGTAAACGTCTTAACTTTTCAGAGACAGGGTAGTAAGTCTTTAGAAATAGATTCATTCATTATTAATATCTGTAATAGCACGTAAGATATTTCTAATAAATTTGGCATGATTCATAAATGTAGCGCAACTCCGGTATTTACGATGTGGTTCCCTCCTTTTGTTCTCATTTACATCGACCTGGATTTACTGTTACCTTAGCAGCTCATAACTTGAGACTTAATGCGAATAAATCTAAAATAATGATTTTTCGGGAAAAAACAAGCGCAATATATCAGAAAATCTATGTCAATTAGCAATTAATAAAATTCTGTCATCAATTATTGTAACCATTAGCAAAAATTTAGGGTTTTTGTTTGACAATGAATTAAAACTCGATTTCCATATTGAAGAATTATGTCAGGTAAATATATCCTCACAAAAATATATTAAACAATAGACTAAAAATTTCAAGAGTTTCGTAGTGCACAAGTGTATGCATATGGCCCAGCTACAATAAAAAGTGATCAAGACGCCTACAAAACCCTTGTTACGCTAGGTATAAGGAAATTTGATCGTCTAAGCCATGTGTATAAAAAGACTGGTAAAATGAACATGAATAGGAAATCGGAATATGTTCTAAATAAACTCAACACATTTCAAAATATGAATAAATTGTCAACCAGAAATCGTCGATTATTATACCTACATTTTTGTAATTTCGATCAGTGATTTTTGTACGGAATTTCATCTTACTTTTCTGACAGACGTTGGTGGTACGTCACTCACTTCCCCTTCAAATAAAAATGATTTTTGGGGACCCCAGTTACTTCTGATCAAATTTGGTCCATTGATTTCTTCATCCCATGCACGCTTTTCGCTATAATAAAAATAAAAAGACATTTCCACTTTTTCTCTTCTACCCGGTGGCGTAATTAAAATTTCGATCCGACGTTTCATCTCTCAGTTTTTTAGGAATACACCGTTCTCGATTACCCTTAAACAATATAAGTGAACGAGTTTGTGAATGCGTACTATGTTATGATCTTTACAATTTCAATGTTTACTCAAATATTTTTGTATGACATTATATACGTAGTTTGAAACCAGAATTAGACGCTATAATACAGAATTGGCTTAGATAAGGAAAATCAAAGTTGAGACGGATAAGAGATGAAAAATCATATTAGTGTTCTATTTATGCCACCTTGCAGAGATCAAAAAGTGGCAAAGTCAATGTGCAGTTTATTTTGAAATCCTATCTTGAATAAATTCAGAAAAAATAGAATCGTTCCCTTTTCCTTGTACCTCTGAAGATACTGGAAGCGTCAAAACTTTTCAAATGCAAATGCAAAGCAGTTCAAATTTGTTTTTCAAATCATTCTAGAACAGATTAGGTAGATGTCCTTCTACATATTCTGTAAAACTATTTTTGTCTATTTGATGAAATTTTAAGTAATTGTAGAAAAGCAAGGAATAAATATCGACAAAGAGATGGGACCGATTAGCAAAAAGTATAAATATTATTCTGTCTGTAATAGAACCCAACAAAAAAATGTACCTACTATGTTATACCTGAAAATGATTCTTCCACCCTGCTTGAATTTTGAGGAATATGTACACCCAAAAAGTAGATATATAAAATTTGCAGTATAGCAAACATTTGTCATGTTTTATCTCAAGTGATATTCGCTTTCAAGTACCGCAAACGACTAAATTAATACTCAGTAAAGAAGCATCTCGCGCAATATTTGCTTGAATATTGCAAAATAGTACCTAATACCAAAAATTATACATATCCATATGTATTGCCGTGGAAGTCTCTAAATAAATGAAATGCAATAAGAGAGAAAATATCAAGGATAGTTATGTAGAAATGATTTATGGAACTTCATCAAAACAATTTTTGACTTTTCTGTTTTGAGCTGGTTACGCCCTTGAATAAATTGCTTCTGTTTTCAATCAGCAAGCAGATGCTACATTAACTAGTTACATCCTAATAATTCACGTTGCACATCTTCAAATCTGCCATACGTATAAATTATCAGCAAATCCTTGTTACACAGAATCTGTTTGGGTGTCATTATGAAAATGAATTACCATTTTAAACAATTTCGAGCCTTCTCAAGGGAGTCTTCATATTTAGTAGTAAGTATTTATATTCTCTAAAACAAACAGAAGCTTTGAAAATGATGAGAACAACTTTTTGGAAATTTTTACCTGTTCCAAAATGATGGTTGAGAACGAATTGTATATAATAGGAGAAAAATCTAAGTTGTAATCCTCATACATCTGCCAAGATGTTTGGTTTCCTTTTTTTATAAGGAGAAAGTTAAAGTAAGTAAACCCAAACTCATTAAGAACTTCAATTCCGTTTATAAACCACTTGCAGAACTTTCCGAATGAGGTTTTCTGCTAGTAGGTATATCAACAAATTGGTTTAGATATGTTATTTTCTTATCGTTATACATTTTCTATCGACACAATTCTACCTTGTTTCCTCCAACAACCCTAACAAGGGCAAGTCATCGAAAAATGGTAAACTAAGTACAAAATCTAAATCAAACCTCATTATCCTACATTGTACCCTGAAACCCAGGTGACGCTTTCCATACAACAATCAATCTTCCAGAAAAGGATACCCTACCCGCATTCGCTACAAGCCGTGTTATCAAACCTAGCCGTGCTATGTACAAAACAAACACGGAAACTCCCGAAATGTCAGCAAACATCTCAATACACGGACATCCTGTCACCGGGTAGGCCGAAGCCACCCAATAGGCGGGGACTACAGGCTTGCCATGCTGGCATTGGTCGAATCCGATTGGTAGGCCCCACTGCCGATATCCATGCTACCTTACCAGCCGCAAAACGAGTTTCAGTTCATTCAGTTAGTAGCAGACGCTCAAAGTGAGTGGTTTATTAATAGTTAATGATGGTGAAAAGAGAAGATACTGTTTTGATTGTACCTACGATGGCTAGAACTCCGCTGAAGTCATCGTTTTCTATCAGTTCTATACTTCCGGAAACCGCCTTAGACGCACCGAAAAGTCCGGAGTCCCTGCCTAGTCCAGTGCACCTACCGGAACAGGAACTTAGTGATTCGGATTGTGACTTGGACGTTACCGGTGATGATGACTCTTCGCCTATTGACTGCACCAAGACGTCTGAAGAGAAAGGTTCAGGAGAAGCGAAGTCCAAAGAAAAACCGGCATATAGCTACAACGCTCTGATTATGATGGCGATCAGAGAGAGTCCCGAGAAGAGGTTGACGCTCAATGGGATCTACGAGTACATCATGACGAATTTTCCGTACTACAGGGAGAACAAGCAAGGTTGGCAGAACTCAATCAGGCACAACTTGAGCCTTAACAAGTGCTTCGTGAAAGTGCCCAGGCACTACGATGATCCAGGAAAAGGTAACTACTGGATGCTGGACCCATCTGCTGAAGATGTTTTTATCGGAGGCACAACAGGAAAATTGAGGAGGCGATCAACGGCTGCATCAAGGTCGAGGTTAGCTGCTTTCAAGAGGAGCCTGTCCATGTACCCCATCCAAGGCATGTACCCACCGTTCTACCCGCCTTCACCAGCGCTTCTTGCTGCTGCGTACCAGAGGTACAACCCGTACATGAATCCCACTGTGATCAGGCCGTCGCCAATGCAAGCTGCACCGCAACCTTTCAACGTGGAAAGGCTTCTGGGTACGATGCCACCTACAATGGACCTCAATAACCCATTCTTCAGGCCTTCCATGGATCTGTACAGCAACTTTAGGATACCTCAACATATGCTGCCTCATCATCCGATGGCTTTGTCGCCCACAAGTAGTTCCAGTTCTCCGGAACCTAGTGGATCAGAAAACATGTTCAAACCTGTGACGATCATCTCGCGGCACAGTTGAGTTTATCAGTGAGATTTTTTTGTTAGTTCAAGTTTGGCTTTAAGGTAAAATGCACACTGTGGGTTGATGAGGAAGTTTCATAATGTAAGTACCGAGTTATCTGAATCTTTCAAACAGTGTTCAACCTACTTTGCTTCATTGCAGTTGGAGAAGTGTTGATTAACAATATGTATCCAATCAGTTTTATACGTGTTTCGATGTTGTTTTCATTTTTATGTAAGTCTTATATGACATACTGCAATAGTAATCGTAGATATTAGACGGAAATAGGTACTTTGTCATTTTCTCAATTAATCTATGTTCTGCTTTACCTTATCACACTTGATGTATGATCTCTATGTTTGTTGTTAAAGCTTTAAAATTGTACGCAGGTACGTACAATATTCTTTGTATATAATTTGTAAATATTCAGATAGATATTTATTTATATGATCATTGTGATGTTAGTTTGTAAGGAATGTATAATGAGATATACGAATCAATATAAAGAAATGGAATTAAAGATATTTTTAAAACATACATGGTATGGTGTCTTATTGATTGCGCTGAAAATGAAAGGAGTGAATGAAAGGTGGGATAAAGAAAAAACTAATTCGCAGTTTAAGGTGTCTTGAAGCACCAACACAAGTACATTCTTGGCTGATTCGGAATGCGATTTTATCGCTAGACGCATACAGGAAATAAAGCTAATAGTATCAACTTGAATGCAGCAATAGGTAATGCCTAGTCGGTGAATTCTTTCCAAAATTCCTTTGGGATATATGTTGCATTCTGAGTTAAGCAAGAACTAACATGTGCTGGGGCTCCTCAAATCCACGCGTACTGATTGGGCTTTCCATTGACAGTAGGTATAACTTAAACTCCACGACATTTTGATTGAAACTTCAAGGGGCCTTAGGGTCTTATATCCAATCAGAACAACGTGTATTGCAAATAGAAACAGAACTGAAGATATATGCATTTGTATCTTGTTGAAAGAAAGAAGATGTCCTCATACGGTAAATGAGGAGTGAGCAAGGCAAACTTTTGGAAATTCACGGACATTCATTGACTGTAGAACTTGTACCTTACCCAGCAGAAAGCAATCTTAAATAATCAGCTCAATAGATTACAACTGAAGCTTTAGCATTAGTTGAAACTTCGTCAATTGCAAATTGTCTACACATTTCAGATAACTGAGTATCCATTACTAGTGTCCGACGGTATACTTAGACTGTCATGATTTTTGCCTGTGATAAATTGCCGTATAAACATGACTTAATATAAACAAATAACAAGACGTTGACATACTGTAATTCAATCCAAATAGACGTCTCTGAAAATCAAAATTCTAATTTCAGTGGCTTTCTATTCGTTGTTCTGCTCTCAAGCCAGAAAAATGTTTGTAAGCTTTGCCTATTGTAGCATCAGATGTGAAGAGAAAAAGTACTGTGATCACCAACATTTTTTGACTTAGCGACAACCTTTTGTCATTATCAAAATTCACACCAGTCCAATTTTGTCAAATTGTCAATGAGTCCGTCGTCCGTATTTTCTATTTGAGTATTTTGTTGACTTTGATGAAATTCCTACGAAATTTCAGGAAAAAAAATCGATAAGAGATATTTTCAAAGTTTGTCTTCAGATAATCCTCCATGTCTGTCCAATGAAGCCACCAAAAACGACAAACGGGTATGAGAGGTTGTCTGTCGATTTTTTAATGTACCAGATACATCACCCTGGCTCATCGTTCCGAAAACGCCAAAAGCCCCCCAAAAGACGCAAAAACCCACCCACCTTTTCCAATAATGCTTGCAAGTAGAATAGGCGTGTCTATTTGAAAACAGCCTCTAATCAGCTCAGATAACTGGTTTACTTCACCTACGTATTTGATACGATAATTATCATCGCCTTGCTCGAAATAAGAACAAACAAATTAACAAATTGTCCACAGTAACGGCGGCTATGAATCATTCTCCGTTTACCCATCAGAGAAGCACGTCAACATTCATTTAATTTCTAATTGACCTGCAGGCCAACATGACCAACACTACACCTACATTCATCAAGACCGAATTGTACAGCGGAAAACAACAGAGTGGGCACACCAACTAAAAGTCACCCGAATTATAGTCATCTTTCACTTAGAGCGTTGAACTTCATAACAATATGTCTCTTCAGCTTGACTTTGAAAAAAGTATCACCAATATTTCAAATAATATTATAAATAAATACCTACTATTAGTGATTATCAGCGATGTTATATTGTACAGGTCACGACAAGGATTCATATTATAGAACTTCAAATAATAATACGAGTAATAAATCGTCTTTATTTAGGGGGCGAAGTTTAGCATAATGCTACTCTACCCCAAAAAAAAAAGAAAAATTGAAAAAACAATACAAAAAGCATAAATACATTGGATAAGTTAGAAGATTACAAATGTAGGTGTATAAAAAATATGATATATAACATATATAAGTGGAGGCTATTCAATATTTCATGATTTAAAAGTATAAAATTGTAACAGTTATACAAAACAAAGGAATGCTATATTGGAAATATTTTTGTGTGGGGTGACAGATAAATTTTATCAACTATTCTTCTATTCTTCTATTCAAAATAAATTTCTTCATATGTCTTTTAAATTCATCATATGATAGCAATTTTGTGGATCGAGATAGAGCATTGTAAAAATAATTGCGTTGTAGGTGAAGCATTTACGAAAGAATGATGTCCTGTGGAGGGGCATTGTGAGTGTTTCAGTGAATCGAATGTCCCTAGAATGGATATTGCTTCTAGATATCAGCTTATTTCTCAAAAACGGCGGAATGGATGACAGTAAAAGCCTGTGGGTGTAAGTAACTAGGTGTAGCTCACACAGTTCATTTACTCTCAACCACTCCATGTCATTGAAAAAAGGGCTGATATCATATTTTTTCAAATTATTGATCAACCTACAACATGAGTTTTGGATTTTTTGGAGACGTGCTAGAGATATTAAGTCAAGAAATGGAAGATAAACTAAATCGCAATAACTAATTTTGGACATTACCAAAGATTGACACAAAATTTATTTAGTTGTAAAATCAATAAATTGTTTATTAAGATATAATTGACGTAAAATTGAAAAAAAACTCTTACTGATATAATTTACATGTGGTATAAAATTCATTCCTTCGTCTAAAGTTACGCCCAAGTTTTTCATTGACTCACTTACTTCTATAGTCTCACCATTTAATTTTACTTTAAAATTTCTTTTGGCATCACTTCTAAATAGTTTTGGTGAAAAAATGATGACTTTCGATTTTAAAGGATTCAACTGAAGGTTATAATTTTTTGCATACATATATATAGATGTTATATCTTCATTTACCTCAGATTCAGCATTTCGAATGTCGTGATTATAGAAATGACTGTAGATCTGTGAATCGTCGGCAAATAATTGGATATTACAATATTTAACAACTGAATGGAGATAAGAAATATACAAAATGAATAGGAGTGGCCCAAGTACAGACCCTTGAGGCAGTCCGGAGGAAATGAGGCACTTTGAAGATAGAACCATGTCAATGTGTACCCTTTGATAACGATTTCCTAAGAAGCTCTGAATCATTTTTGAGGCAGAGTCAGAAAAACCAAAATATTTGCACTTGGCTACTAGAAGACGATGATTTATGGTATCGAATGCCTTAGAGAAGTCAAGAAGAACTAATGATGTGATCATATGTTGATCCCAGGCTCTAACAATGTTATCGGTTAAGTCTAATAGGGCACCTGCAGTGTTATATCCTTTTCGATAACCGCATTGTTTGGGAGGCAAAATTTTATGTTTAGGGAGATAATCGTAAATTTGGGCGTACATTGCTTTTTCTAATAATTTGGACAAAACAGGTAAAATACTAATTGGTCTGAAATCAGACTATAATTTTGGCTTATTTTAGCTAGAAGTAATACTAATGCTTCTTTCCATGATTCTGTCTAATAAAGTAACTAATATTCCTAGTGTTGGTCTTAGCTCATCGAAGAAAGAACAACATAATGCTGAAACGTAAAGACTAAAAACAGTATTATTTTATGCAACTGAAAGAAACATTGTAGTATAATTGAAAGCCTTGATGATGTTGCAGCTTCCTAAACACATTTCATATCCGCCGATCATGTAGAGCATCTCCATCGTGCCAAAATGAAACTTGTTTTAGTCAACAAATGGGCACATTATTTTAATGTCCTCCAGTCAAACTTAAGCATTTGTCATTTAACCGGATAATCATATGATGATGTGTGATATGTCATTTTCAAGGCCAACTGTGAAAATATTGGTTTTTAAGTAACTTAGGTTTGTCAATGTCAACGTATGAAATACACATATTTTTTAATTAAAATCAAAAATTATATGTCACCTTTGAAATCCCAATGGTCAGGAAAAAATAAAAACGATTTGGGTTTCATTCGTCTCATCTCGGAAATATTGGGAATTGAAAACTTTCTATGTGCGATTTTCTTAGTTAGGTACCTAAATGTGCAACTTTGCCCTTACTTAACCGATTTCTTATCCCGCGCCGTTTCCGAGATGACTATGGCGAGAGTCGAATTTGAAACACGCTGTATGCACGATCCCTGATCAAGAGGATATGCAAATTTCTTAAAGGCTTCAGAATGAAGTAATGTTTGCAATCGTAGGACAATATTATTGAATATATCTTTATCCACTGGTACATAGAACTAACAACTTTATTCTGCTGAACTATCCTTTTGAACAAAAGCCATTTTTTCAATAAAGTGGTGATTCGCACATTGAACACTGTGAGAGAGTTAGTTCTTAATACATTTAAAAAGGTACCAGACGATGCTCCTGAAAACTATAGAATAAATTATTTGTATAAGCTGAAAAACTCAAACGGTATTTTTGGGGTTGTTTCACTGATTGCACGTTCCCCGGTGTAACAGATGAGAATTACTATAAGCATGGAAATCATCGAGCTACCGTTTTTGTTGGTCTTCCTGTCGTCTATAGTGAATCTGAGGTCCTGATAGTTAATCTTATCAAATTTATGAGATATTTACAACTAAAGAAAATGATACTATAACCATCTAGTTTTAATAACCGTTGCCTTGATTTTGGCTTTTGAGATCATAATTGAGCAATCTTGAGCATCGGTGCATAGCGTCAAAGATATGTGCGAGAAATCAAAAACAAATCGCTATATTACTCGAAATTGTATGTTCTTCGGAATTTTATTTATTTTCTAACGCTTTCAGAAAAACCGTTTGCCATAATCTGGAAAAAAAATGTTTTTGTTGAACGCTTCTGTAGATCCCGATTCTCAGTGAGTGAACATTAGCTTGATATCATCTCTGTTATTACGTGGGATTAAAGTCAGAGGAAACGTATCGCTAAGACCAAATCAATCAAATTCTTTACAAGAGATATGCTTTGCATGGTGTTGTTCACCCTGTATCGTTTGTTAAAACATTAAGCGTAGC